GAAAATTTTGTTAGGCTAAGTTGCTAGCTGGGGAACCTGAGAAGCTAGAAGACTGGAGTCTTAAGGGGACATTTCTCGCTCGCGTAGGTGTTAATGGGCTGAAACCCAACCCCCGCGTATGCGTGATACCCACGTGGGGGCCCGTGAGCATTTTTTTCGGGTAAGTTACTGGCTTGGGAACCTGAGAAGTTAGAAGACTGGAATTTTGAGGGGGTGTTTCCTGGCAGTTCTGGCGGCCAGTCTTAATCTGTCTAGCTAGAAACATTTGCCGGAAAAACCGGTGCCGGTAGTGACAAAAACTGTGGGGAACTGTGCAAAAAACGCATCTTCGCACGGGCAGCCCCTGCGTTGGCCAATTATTTTTAAGCCGACACGAAAAATCTAAGCGACAAGAAGAATCTTTTTTTGTGTTTCTTTTTAAAACAAAATGCTATTTCGAAGCAATAATAGGTGATATGCGGTGGGCGCATATTTATGTGTCTGTTCGCTTGACAGTTCAATTCATATACTATAACATGATGGTAGAGAGGTGAAAGGGGGAGGGGAAGAGGAGGGAGGGGGAGGTTAGGATAAAAGGATGGGGAAGTGAATTGAGCTTTTTAAGCGCGGCGTTCTTGGTTACGTATTCTTCTTTTGACAGTCTTTTTAATAATTTCAGTAATTTTCAGAATGATGAAGGTAACGGCAGTCTTGTCCAGATTAAAGACGTGAAAAAAGCTGACGAATGTTTGAAAGCCGGTGAGCAGCATGATTTTCATGACGATGTGGAGTATATGATGAGCACTCTTTTGAACCCTTCGTCAACTGCCAACGTTAAATGTCTGAGGTTGTCGTTTTGCTGGTGCTTGATTTGCAAGATGAGTAATTTTTTAATTGTTCGTAAGACTAATTTGCATGTCATTGGCGCTCGCTTAAAGCAAAGCTTATTTTTTGAACCTTCCCCTAGGCTTAAATCAATCATTTTTTCTTCGCGAGGAAGCATAACGTAGCTCTCGTTATACATTTCCTTTTGTCGTTTATGTACGAAGTTATTTTTGATATGATGGAAAAGTTATATGCCCAATTGTAGCTCATATACTCGAAACCTTTTTACCTAATTTTAGAAATCTGTCGCACAGTTGACCGGCTTTTATCCGTTTTGTGCTGCAGCGGTTGCACGAAATATGTGCGTGTATGTGTGCATGTGTATGTGTATATGTGTGCGTGTGTATGTGCACGTGTGTGTGCACGTGTGTATGTGCACGTGTGTGTATGTATGTGTGTGCGTGTGCATGTGTGTTTAGAATGTGTTTTATCTTAGGTTTTTAACTCAAGAACCTGAAGAACTAGGACGTTCGAAATCTAAGCTGCAGTTTCCTGTCCATGTATGCTCCAAAAGTTTTAATCCAGTTGTGCTTTGTTCTCACGCATGGGAATTTCCTCACTTTTACTTGTTTGTGTGTGGGACCGGTTTCTAGTTTCAGTGGGAAATTTTCGGACTTCAGAACCGAGCGAGATGAAAAGCCAAAGTTTTAAGAGTTCCTTGCTCAAGTACGACTCCAGAAATTTTCGATTTTGCTTCCACGTATGCCTGCATCTCAAGTATGGACACAAGAGAGTTTTGACCAGTCAAAATAATTCAATTTCTGCACATAATGAACTGTAAAGAAGTAAACATTTTTGGCGGCAAACATTG